TCCACGTAGCAAACACATAATGAGACCACATTCCTTTGTTTTCCAAACTCATCACTTAGAATAGCTCATGTGTAGATGTATACATAAAAGAAGATGTATTTTTTGCTTAGGAATGTACAAGGATTATAGTGTTATTTGGCTCGGATTTTGGCAAGGAAGCTATAATTCGAAACCAAACGGTCATATTTTGGCACGGATTTTGGACCGGATTAATCCGTTCGACTAAATCGTTTGAAAATCAGTCCCGGAATACACAACGGTCACTTCTTGGCTCGGAATTAGATACAGATTTATCGTTACGATAATCTTTTGGCACGGATAGCCCGTTTGAGCCAAAAGCAAAAAGAAATTGTATTAAAAATATGGCACGGAATTTGGCTCAAAATTGTTGTCTCGGATATTAGCGTTGATCCTCATCTATGCAACATGTTCTTGTTGGCACGGAAAAGGCTGTTCCAGTTGAAACAGAATTAGGTTGGGATTGTGTTGGCTCAGATATGTTTGAGTCAAACAGTGAAAGTCCAAAAACGGTGTTGGATCAGATACATATCCGTCCCAACGTGGAACAAGAATTTGGATCAAATTGTCTAGAAGGCAAAAAATTGTTTTTTTTTCCGGTTTTGGATCGTGTTTTGACTCGGCACTTCCGAGACAAACTATAGAAACAGATGTATCCATGCCAAAAAGTATACGATCTATATATTTTTGTATACCGAGCCAAATGTCGAGACAAATTTGGCAGGGTATTTATCCGAGCCAAAATCCCTGCCGATACCGAGGTTTTTTAGTAGTGGAGGTAGGATATATATTGAATTTTGTACTATTTTATTCCGAAAATGGAATCACAAGTGCACATTATTGAGGTCTGATTTTTCGTAAAAATGCTCAATGAAAGTAATTATTGGTCATGTACATTAAATAAACCTTCACACACTAGTAGTCCCCGTACTATCTTCGCACACCGGTAGTCTCGTACATCATTCCTACAGACACATGTTGAACCGAAATGGTAAATGTTGTTTACAAGGAGGTTTTCTAAAACCTAACAATGTTATGTTTGTTGGACTGGTATTACATTATAATGTCATTTTTTAATATATTCTCTTTAATTAAATTATTACTATCCATAATAAGAAGTGTTTATATGAAATAAAACGATGAATTATTTATGTAGTGTATAAAATATACTTCATATATCTTATAAAGTATTCAAATAATCTTAATATATACGCCTGGGCAACGTTCGGGTAAAACTTAACACTAGTAAGTCTAGTAGTTTGACTTACTTGCTCATATTGTATATTTACTGAATTTGTTCGTATTGAGGATTGCATCGGAATTGTATCATTTCTGGCAAAAACGAACCGCAGAGCGGTTGCATGTGGTGACATTTTATGTTAGAAACAATACGGACCTGTTTACTAAAAGAAATATTTTCTGTTTTTTTCAAAAATTTGGAAAACCGGGGATAGAAAAATTAGAAAACATGTTTACCAAACCATTTTCCAAAATGTAAAAAACGAAACATGTCTCTCTTTTTCCTTGTGAAATAGAAAACCGGGTGTTAGGCATTTTCGCCTTTTAGAAAACGCGGTGCTACAGTACCCTTCATTTAATCGCTCGCCCTCCTCTGCCTACCTTCTTTAGTCCTCTCTTTCATTTCGCATTACCTTCCTCCTCCAACCGTCATTACTTCCTCTGCCAACCTTCATTACTCCACGCTTTTATTGCGCCTTACCTTCCTCCTCGGCTCCAGGTTAAAACTTGAATGAGTGCTCCCCCAAACACTGCACCTCTTCTCCCAACACGCCACACCTCCAGCTTCGTCGAAGGAGACTCTACCACTTCCTCACATGTCAACGACGTTCCAGGTTCACCAAACCGGGCATCGCTGTTGGGAGCCGCACCCCGACCTCACAGAATCTCCTTGTTCTTCTGTCGGCTCCTGTTCTGCCAATGAGTTCAAGGTAAGCTCCGAAATTAAATAAAATTTTCTGATTTTTCTTGTTCAAGATTGAAAGCTTTGGGTGGTTTGAACTTTCTGATTTTTTATCAAAACAATATTCTGTTCGAATTTTACTTTGTTTGGTAGTGTGTACAAAATTACACGATAGTTTAATTGGGGATGTTGTCTTGCGGAAGTAGATCGATAGTTTCTGTTGGATCTACTTTGTTCGATAGTTTTTTTGTATCACAAATTAGTGATAGGGTTGATGTTCCACCAAATGTGTTGTTCATTTTGCTGCTTGGCCTCTTTTAATGGTCTATTGCACAAATTATGTTAATCTCTTTCTCAGAAGTGGAATCCCCTTCCAGAGCTTGTTATAGAATAGTTCGGGTGTTTGCTTTTGCTATGGTTTGTGTTGAGATTTGAGTGATATATTTTAGCTGTTTTGGGTTGCCCATGCCTCCTGCTGGTAATACAATAATTATGCAATTTGTGTTAATCAAGTGACTATTTTACAAAAATTGGTTCTCATTGCAGTTGTTATTGACTTCATTACAGGTTATTACTATGTTGTTGATACCGGCTATCCAAATGTTTCGGGTTTTTAGCCTCATACCGGGGAGAGAGTTATCACTTAAATGATTTTCGAGGTCGAGAACAAATACATAACAAACAAGCTTTATTTAACTATCGTTACTCGTCCTTGCGTAATGTGATCGAGAGGTGTTTCAGAGTACTAAAGGAAAGATTTCCCATTCTAGACATATCACGTGGTTGCCCAATGAGAAGACAAGTTCAAATTCCTATAGCTTGTTGCGCATTGCATAACTTCATTCACGTGCAAGATAGGAATGATCGTTTGTTCTTGGAGTACGAGGAAGAGGATATGATATTTAACACGGAGGCAAGTACAAGTGAAAATGGATCACTCAAATGTGATATGTCTTAACAACAACAAATGCACGAAATTCGAGAGAGTATTGCAAATGCAATATGGGATGATTATAATGTATGAGATGTCGAAGTACGATTGTTGTTCTGATTAACATAATGTCACTTATTGATCAAACTTTCAGGGTTGGAGAACATTTATGTTAATTTTTTGTGTTATTCCAAATTTTTGTAATTGTGCATTTCTTTTCCAAATATTAAGTCAACATTTTTTTGGTAAAAATGAAATGGAAAATTGAAAAACTGTGGTAAACATGTTTTCTGATTTGGAAAACAAAAAACTGGAAAATGAAAACAGAAAGCTGGAGACTTGAAAACAGAAAATGAAAATAGAAAAATATTTCTATTAGTAAACAGGCCCTAATTGATGTTAATTAACTTTAGATTGTCCATTACATGATTAGCGACTTCTGCGGCTTGTTTGTGAATATCAGTCTAAGTCGAATCATTGGACTTATGCTTGGGGTTGGTATGATCTTGAGCAGGGGCGTAGTCAGAATCGAAACTTGGGGTGAACTGGTACATATACTTTTTCATATAAATTTTTACATGGTTGCCCCCCTCGTACCTCAGTCCCTGATCTTATCCGTGACTATTTTTTTTTAAAAATCCGTGACTAGAACCGTGACTAACTAGTCACGGACCAAATCTGTGACTAACGTCCGTGACTACATGCGTGTTTTTTTTGTAGTGTTTGGTCTATTGTAATGTGGTTAGATTTATTGATTTTTATATAGAGTAGTTCCATTCAAAAAAAATTCTATCAAAAAAGTAATTTGAATGTTAAGTATTTTGATCATTATACATTTATACCATGTGCAAAATTAAAAATTGAGATATAAAAAAACAGAATTATAATGAGTTAATTATCAAAATAGGACTAAAAGTCATTCACTTTTCACAAATAGGACCAAAAAATAAACTATGTTTGCATAGGACTTTTTATGTGTACCTTGGACAATTATACCCTTATAGCTATTAAAATGTTTTAATTCCTAATAAAATAATAAAAAATAATAATAATTCGTAAAAAATACTAAAAAATTAAGAAAAACATTTCGATATTAAAAATTTAATTAATTTTTTTTTCAAAAAATTAAAAAAATTAAAAAAAAAATAAAAACTCAAAAAAAAAATCGCCACCGCCTCTGCCGCCTCAGCAGCACCACCTCCAGTCACCAGGGGAAAAAATTCCAAGTTCATTACGAATGCCATATTTATGGCAGAAAAAAATGAAAATGTTGGCATTCGAAAAGAGAAATATGCCACTTTTTTGGCATTTTCAGAAAAATTGGCATTTTTCTGGGAAAATGGCATTTTTTTCATCGGCCGGAGGTGGTGGTGCTGGGAGGTAGTACATGCGGTGGGAAAGGCATCCATATTTTTTAAATTTTTTTTACGGAGTTTTACTATTTTTATTAATTTTTTTAAAAATAAAATTATTTTAAAAAAAGTTTTTGAATTTTTTATTTTATAAAATTTTATAATTTTTTTAATTATATTTCTACTAATTTTTGAATTTTTTCGAATTTATTATGAATTAAACATTTAATTATGGCTTTTGACTATTTTTAATTCATATTTAATGGAAGGGTAAGAATGGAATGCAAAAATAGGTATGTTTCCAATAGGACTCATATGGTCCTATTTTGGGTTTTTGCCATAGTTTTAGTGTTATTTGAACTAATTTCTAAATTATAATTAGTGATAATTAACCGGTAACCACTGTTACGAATGTAGGGACGAGTGCGATTTGATTACTATAATTAAAAAATGTCAACTTACAAAAGGCTACTTACTTACACTCGGAGAAAGTATCAAATAGTGAAGTATCTTAGCTAAATTATATTATTATTATTAATTTATTATTATTATATATTTTTATTATTATTAAACGGACAATTATTTTTTTGGCTTACTATGTACGGAGTATAATACAGCATTAAAATAATATAAATATTACAGGGATTCGCATTATTTATTATTAGAGTCGTATCTAGCAGAGTGGTAGGAAGGTGAAGTTCAGGGCCCTACCATCATCTTTTAAGTTGCCATTACTCCCTCCACTACTATAAATACTCAACCCCCACTTTCTCAGCCAAAACAACCATATTTCCCATCTCTCATTTCCCTCTCAATTCTCTTTATTTTTCCAGCTAGCAAAAACAAAAACCCATACACTTCTCTGTCAGCTTGGCGCCAACATTGTTGTAAACATCATCGTTTCCATTTCCATCTTCTTAAAAGAATCAAACAGTGAGGTACTGAGAATCTGAGAATCTGAGATGATGACAAGTATGAGATCAGCCGTCACAAGCTTCGTATCCAAGCAAAAACAGCCTTTGCTGCAATACCTTCACAGCAGCGTCGCCGGGATCGACCTCAGACTCCTCCGGCAGCAGCCGCAGAAGGAGAAGCTCGTGGTGGTCCTCGGCACCACCGGCGCCGGAAAATCAAGACTCTCGATTGACCTCGCCACCCGCCTTTCCGGGGAAATCGTGAACTCCGACAAGGTCCAGGTCTACCAGGGGCTCGACGTTCTGACCAACAAGGTCACCGATGAGGAGCGGTGCGACGTCCCGCACCATCTTCTCGGGGTCGTCGACCCTGAGAAGAATTTCACTGCGAAGAACTACTGCACTGCCGCGAGTCGGGCGATCAGGTCCATCACCGCCCGCGGCCACCTCCCCATCATCGCCGGCGGGTCGAACTCCTTCATCGAGGCCCTCATGGACGACGAGGACTGCCGGCTGAAGTCAATGTACGACGTCTGTTTCTTGTGGGTAGACGTGTCCATGCCGGTGTTACACTCATTTGTGTCGGAGCGCGTGGACAAGATGGTGGAAAGAGGGATCGTGGAGGAGGCCCGGTCGATGTTCAACCCGGAAAATGCGGACTATTCTCGCGGTCTGAGGAACGCCATCGGCGTCGGAGAGTTCCACCGGTATTTCCAGCTGGAGTCCACAACGGACGCCGGCACACGCGCCGGGCTACTTAAAGAAGCGGTTGACGCGGTGAAGATCAACACGTGCCATTTGGCGAGTACGCAATTGGAGAAGATCAAACGGCTGCGGAATGTCCGGGGGTGGAAGTTGCACCGGGTGGACGCGACGGAGGTGTTCCGGAGCCGGGCGGCTGGCGGCGGCAATGACAAAGAAATGTGGGAGAATCAGGTGATGGGGCCCAGCTCGACCATCGTGACAAGATTCCTTAACAACAAGTCCGGGCCACTGATTTATACGGATACATCCGCTGCAGCTATTAGATCACCAGGAACACCTGCCATGATGGGCCGCCGGCCCATGGTGGCCGCATCTCACTGATCAATCGATTCTAACTAATTGCGACTCCATACATGATACCATTTTTGGTTCCGTGCGTTGAATTCAGTGACTGATCCGATCCGCTCAGGCCGGGATATATATACTATAGATATACACTAATCCAAATCATACTATATATATTTATCCAAGAGCCTATTAGATTGTAATTCATCTCCATACTGTTTAATATATACTTCTTTATACATTTAATTTGACAAACATCAATTTTGGGGAAGTTAAGCATGCAATGTGTTGGGCTATTGAGAAAAGGCTTTTTGCACTTCACCATGCAATGTTTGGCATATATATCACAATTGTTTAATAAAGTTATATATTTTTTGCACAATTTTCTTCCTATAGTGTATTTGTACTCTTCTTAGTTTGAGTTTCCAATTGAGTGGAAGTCTTTATAAGACGTATAATATACGAAGCATTATACAACCTGAAGTATATATTCAATCAATTTTTATTCACTATTTAAATTATATTTGATTTATTAAAAATAAATTGTAGTCGTCTAAGTCCTATAAAGTTATCCTATCCCTTCCAAATATGTCCAATATTTCACTTCTTCTTGGTTAGATTGTCATTGTCATAAGGAAAGTGATCGAATAATAAAAATAATAATATTTAATTATTATATATTCTAGCTGTCCAAATTCTTGTATATAATATTAACAATAGTTAAATATTTTTTTAATATATACTTGTTAGAATAAATACTACTACGTCTTTTTTATTGTAAGTTAGTATACCCTATAATAATAAATACTGTATAATAATACGTCTAAATAATAAACATTATCCTATGCATCTTAATTTAAAGGTTTCTACGTTTTGTAATGACTACTATATACGTACAGCATTAGAAATGAAATATACACGTACAGTATTAAATTAACTCAATAAGAATCAATACAAAAATATCAGAATGGAACATACCCGAACATACTACCACATCAAACAAAATTAAATCCGATCAAACTAGATCAGCTTAGATCATGAAATGATTAATCAGGCCATAAGATGATATCAGCTGTAATTTGAAATAATTTATGACATTTTCATACAATTGTTTGGATACAACCCTAATTATCTTTTATTAATTATGCTACGTATTTTGTAACAATAGAACCTAAATTATACGGAGTACGTAGGATAAAATTATATTAGTATGGAAAATATTGATCACATTTTAGCTTTTATGATAAAAAGAAGAAAATGAACAAAAATAATTATAGTACTAGTGATTAATAGTATTACTAGCTACAATAATTTGACCTTAAAAAATACTAGTACAAGGTATTAATTACAATAGTAATACATTGATAATATCCAAATATATGTATGTATATATAGTCACTTAATTTATAAATACAGTTACTCAATCCACATTAACTAATACCCCATTTCAATATATATGTCAAAGAATGGTTTTCCTTTTTATATTGCGTATTTGTATTGCAAAAGTAATATTTTTTATTTTTTATTTTTCAAAAGGCTAAGGTTACGTTATTTGGAGAATGGGTCGTTTATCATGTTATCGCTCTTTGTAATGAGTACATTGACTTGTTCTATATATTTTTGTAGGTTAGTTGTCGTTCATTAGCTTTATTACTTTGTATTCCATCTTTTTACTTTGTTAATAATTAATTAATAAAAGCAAACATTTTACATTTTTATTCCGGAAGAAAAGGAGTAGCAAGAAAGTCACGCCGAAAAGAAAACCGAAAAGGGAAATTATTTTGAATTCCTGCGTTTAGACTGGATGGGGAGCTATTTTCTCTGAACTTCTTTTAGTTGCGGTTATCCAAATTCGCTGAGAATTGGTCGCTTTTTGGGCGACAAGTTTGATTTTTGACTTTTTTGTCCAGTAGGCTTAAAGGTCCGAATTAATTAAAGGTAATAGATTATTACTAATGACTATTGTGTAGCATAACATAATTACTTAGGACTATTTTGTAGCATAACCTATATTGATCAAATAGATGTATATATAATTATATACTGTATACATATGCATCAATTGCTAAGAAGGAGCTAAAGATCCCGATATACCGACCATCCATGTTTGTGCGTACAGCTATCACGAATTTATACTAAGGATTATGGACCGTGTACATAGACCTTAAAGATCAATATCAATAGCATACCTAAGGTGATAACATAATTTCATATGGTGTGTTTTACTTCTGTCTCGTACAAAAGTTCTCACTACAAAATGATACGATTATTTAGATAATAGTTAATCATGCTAATTTGAGTAGATTTTGAGAAATAATTTTGCAAAATTGATGAATATTGTATAATGGATCATTGATGATAACTGTGATGTTTTAGATGTATTATTTTTAATATTTCATACCAAATTGTAATTAAAAAGTATTAATTGTTTCTTAAAATAGAAAATTGAAAACCCTTAAGTGAGAACATTTGAGTGGGCGGAGGGTGAAGTTCTTAGTCAAATTTTTAATACTAGTATTTAAATTTTTTACTAAAATTTGGGGTAATTTTCCATCATTTGCAATGGAGCCAAAGATTCATTACTTTTTGGCTTGAGATTATGATGGAATAAAGCAAAATGGCTCATTAAACTGTCCGCGCTTCTTTGTTATGGAGCAGCAGTCAGTCCATGCAATTTTGGACGTGATTTTCACTATGGGTCATCCGGAAACAGTCTCTTTGTGCTTTAGTACATGGGTAAGACTGCATACATCCGACCCCCCCTTACTCCACCGTAGGTGGGAGCCTTTGCGGCACTGGGGTAAATGAAAATGAAATGAAAATGACTAAAATTTGGGGTAAGAGGGGCGATCACACTAATTAAGCTAAAAAAAGATTTATCTTACACCCAATAGTTATTTGTTTATGCATGTGAGTATGACTTTGTTTTTTTCTTTTAGGCGGTAGCTTTGGTACTTTAATTTATAATTGTTTTTCATACAATTATGTTAATACAAAATTTATTTAAATCACAAAAAGTTGTTTATGGACTCCGAAGTGGCATAGCCCTAATTGGTCAAAGCATAAATCCAGGTATATTTGTGTTTTAGTTTTATTTGGGAGATTTGCAATTTTGTGCCTTAACTTTTGCTTGTTTTTATTATTAGTCCGGTAACTTTGATCACTTGCAAATGAGATGATGTAACTAATAAATACTTATGTTTTAGGACTTTATTATCCTTATTACTATAAAATTATGCATAGTTTTATTATACTCCGTACTATTTTGTGTAAAATTGTACGTAATTCATAAGTTTTAGATTAAGCACACGAAAATTATTTTCGCCTTTCGTCCTTAAAAACACAAAACTGATCTTGGTAGGGCTACAACCTAGCATCCCTACCTCCCCTGATCACTTTTAATTAACATAATTGAGAATGGCGCCAATATTTCATTGTTTGAAGTTCTATGTGTTGAAATATGTGTGATATACTGTTTAAGTATAAAATAATAAACTAAAACATAAAAAGTTGATGTACTCCTCTTATTAGTTTAAGTTTATAGAATTAAATGAAATCGCAATTCTTAATGTGATATACTGAATGGATCCTTATGTGATTTGATTATTTATTTAACATTCACGATCAAGAGTAACTCGTTTATGATCCATTTGACTTGTATATCCATCCTTATGTTTTTCAACAAGACTTGGACTAACGAAACATGGTGAAATATTTGAAAACTTATTTTATACTTTGTACTCTCTACATTCTTTATTAATTGCATTGTAATCCTTTTTGGAATGTGTTTTATTATTTGTCCATCTTTCTAGTTTTAGTATGTTTTTCAATCAAAATACTTTTATACTCTCACCTTTATTATTCCTACCCGATTTAGTTTTTACATAGTGTTTTCTCTTTCTTACTTTTGCATTACTTTACTCTTTTTATTGTATTCTATTTTCCACCATTTCATTTATCCTACACCATCTATACTAACCGTACTATTTTCTTCTTAAAAGCCACAATAAACTTAAGAGGACTATTAATTAAGAACGGATGGAGTATTATCTTGTCATATATTCGGTTAGCTTTTCCTTATAGTTTTTTCATTGTATTTTGTGATGTTTTTTTGGAAATATTTTGTCTTGATTATGTAAGATATGTGTGTATACCATTACTATTATTATTTCTTGAAAAATGGCATCTATTTATTTTTGGTGTTTTCAATTAACAAGTATCTTTTTTAATTTTTTTTTCAAAAAATGTGACTTAATTATTACCTTAATTATCCCGCTACTTAATATGAAATTTCCTTAAGAAAACACTTGACAGTTGCTTTAGTATACTACGGGTGGTGAGGTGCTCTGCCATTTGTATTGTATTGTATTGTGGAAGCCCTTGACGATTGCTTTAATATTCAATTTTCTTCTGGTCATAAGAAAACACTTATGTGGAACAAAATTTCAACTTATTCCTATGACATATTGACCTAATGTAAGTTTTGTACTTAAAATAACTTGAATCTCTTACACTAGATGTGCAAACCATGCTCATTCATTAAAAAGTAGACAAAATGTTGATGTATGAGAAATAATGGACTTATTAATAAGTAGACATATTAGCAATTTATTCAAGTAGTCTTGTATTGAGCTCATTATTACTGTTTTAAGTAACTTACTTGCACATCTTGTCTATAAGTAATAAATTAAGTTAGACTAAGGACTTTTTCTTAAACATGTACATATTCCACCTGAAAATTCCAACATTATCGGAGGGCCGACATACAATTCTCTATTGGATCGGAATTCGTATACATATTATTGCAGAAAACTTCATTATGTAGGCAATAGATCTAAGTATCTAACTCATCTAAGACGAAATTAGTAAGTGGTAAATTTATTGAACTGATAATTGACAGAACCGTAATATATGAATATAAGTTGATAAATCACATTAACAATAGGTTAGAGGACTAGATTATAATGTTCTCTCTAACAGTTTTACCCTTCTCTATGAATTGTTAGGTCAACAGGAAAGTAGTAGGATAACTTAGCCTTATGTTTTTATGTATGAAAATTTGTGCAATAAGTATCACACAATCTATTACTCCCAACGTCCCACTAATATTGTCTCATGTTACCTTTTCGGAAAATCTCACTAAAATTGACGCATACCAAATTTGGTAAAGTTTGTGTGGCTCTAAATCATTCTTACTTTATTCTTACTTTATCAATTAATATCAGCCACTTTTCTTAATAACCGTGTCACACCCTCCCGTCCCAATATTAGTGTGACAAAGGTAGTATGAGGT